GGAACACTATTCATTATGGAATTTGTCATAGAATTACCATCTATTTTCTCCAATGAATGTTGCTCTTAGAATTTCAATTGTTTTTATCTTCTCATATAGCTTCTGTCAAGATTGTTATTATTTTGTTCCAGGTTTTACTCTGCAATCTGGTAAGAGCTCCGAGTGAGAATTTTATTAAGATTGGGATGGAACCTTAAACCCGAATGATAATCTCATACTTAATAGTCAACATATACACCTTGCCAAGAAAATTTTATGATCTTCTTAATGTAAAAACGTGATAATCTCACTCAGTTCCAGTTTGATTTGAAACATTAAATACATCAGTTTTAAGATCAGTATCAACTTGGAAAACAAATATACAAAGGAGAAGACCAGTAAAAACAGAGCAAAACTACAGAAAGCAGAAACTACTTCTCTGAGAAGGGGAGCCGGATACATTAAAAAATGGTTTGAAATTTTAGATTTCTTGCCATGGAAGTCGACAGAAGGAAGTGGGAATGACAGATAGTGGGAGTCACTTTACTCTTTTAGTTAGCTGTTACTTTTCACGATTTTTCTTTTTTTTTTTTTTTTTTTTTTTTTCGGGTGTATACAGAGCTTTTCATATTTCATTTGCATGATTTTTTCTAGGCTCGGCTAAAGGTAGAACCTCAACTACTACGAATGTTGTATGTTATAACTTCAAGCAGAGCCTAACTACTAGAGATATGGTGAGGAGAAGCATTTACTGTGATTGTTTAAACTTATCTATGTAGTGCTTTAGAAACATATTTCGAACTTATGCTTTAATGCTTCTTCATGTGTGATTCCTCAGGTGGAACCTCTACCATTATCAAAATTTGATCCAATCAATGGCTGTAATTGGCTATAATCTGCAACTCTTTCTTTGCATGGCAATCAGTCGCCAATGGATCCAGACAGATATTCTCTCAATCATGAGCATGAAGATGTCACAAATTTACAGTGTTTAGTCTACAGGAGAATACCTTGCTAGAAAGCAAATGAATATTCTCCAATGACTGTTGAGGAACTTTAGGTCAATGGAGATTCATGGACATTAATTGTAACAATGTTCATAGTCATGTTATCGTGTATGCTACAACCTCTCTGATTTTGAGATTAATAGTTAAATCACCAGCATATTCAAGAATGTGCTGACTGAGTTCATCGTGAAATCTACCTTATACAACTCCACCCGAGAGTGATGTGAGTTCGTCATTATTTATAAGATCGTTGCGTTAGATTCTCCCTATCATCTTCCAAAAACATTTCCTATATATCAACAGAAGACCCTGCAAACGACAATATAAACCAAAATCCCTCAACTGTGTATTTGATAAATAGAACGCCGACTTAGGAAATGTTTCACCTTTTAAGAAATTGTTCAATAAGCACCTCCCTTGCCATCTTTGGTTGCTCTACAACAAACACAAATTTGATTTCAATATCTTTGAAAATCAGATTCAATCACAAAAGCCATTGAAATATTTTTTTGCTTTGCATTAACAATCCTTCGGAGCCTGAACAGTAGGATCGTATTGAAATAGTGATTTGGTATTGGTTTTTGAATTAGTGATTAAAAAAATATATTAAAGGTTTATGATGGCTATTATGGTTTATTATGCATGTGATTGTGTTACTGGAAATGTGCCTGGATGGAACAAATCAAGTGACAACAGCCTGGGTTACGGTCAATACAGCAGTTTGGGCTGCCAGATTTACAAGAAGTTGGGCCTTAATTGGCCCAAAAATCATATTAAATAAGCTCTTTTTTTTTTTTTTTTTCTAATGTCGAGGTGTACATGTTAGTTTATACGTAATTTAATTATTCTCCGAATACCTTGAAACTATTGATCAGATAAGAACTGTAGTAATTATCTCTATTAACATCTGAAGAAGAACTTGAACTCAGAATCTTTTTAATAATACACTTAAGAATCTCTATTGAACCGTCCAATCACCTAAAAATAATTTATATTAGTGATGTTGCTAACAACTTTGGAAGGTCTTATTAAAGCTTTGGAATTAATAATTGTATTTAGTTATTGATCCAACAATACACCTTACCAAGAACAGTTTTATTCCAACGAAGGAATATTGAAATCATATTCTGATATTCATACATGAAGAATGGAAATAATAAAATGAAAGAATTCCCGAGGAGCATGTGGCAGGAGAATGGAAGATGAGGCAAAGAATGGAGGAAAGATGACAAAATGAGAAGAAGATTCTAGAGGTAGCTAAGATTCTAGAGTGGAAATACAGAGATGGCGGGGTACTTCTTTCTTATACGACTTGCAAAGGAAGGATAGCCTTCGTGTCACTTTCTCCCATTTAGTTCTTATCCTTAACACTTGATTAATCTTTAACGATTCTGTTCCTTTATATACATTCATCAAATAATCTTTACAGAGTAGATGATATATTCCTACTCGAGGTTTAGCAAAATCTTAAATTGATATCTCTGCTTATATTTATTTTAGATTTTTACCTTTAAACTAATATCATTATTGAGTATTAGAGGTGATAAAAAATGCTGAGTGAGTTGTAGAGGAGATTGTGAGGAGTCCAACGGTGGTTTTGGACTTCGAAATCAATCAACAAAAGCCAAAAACTGGCAGTTTGGACACTACTAACATAAGCCATTTTTTGCTAAAATGAACCTATCTTCTACCAAGAAAAGCGTCGGCGTATTTTAGTGTTTTAATGTGCGTTACACTAATACCAATAGAAGTTACTGTTGGTAATATTGAGGGCACATTTGGATAGGGGTAATATTAGATAACTGGGGCAATATTTTTTACATTGAGCAAATGACGATATTTGGTTGGTTTGTAAAAAATTATTCCCGGAATCGTTTATGACAAACGGTGGCATTTTAGGGGTAAGTTGCCGGGAATATTTTTACCTGGGGGAGCAGAGGGGTTATTAAAACATACCCAAAGTAATCCAATTTTGTGTCCCATATTACCCCTAAACAGTTGAGCATTTGGTCCAAATTAGCCTTATATTTGTTAAGATTTACAAAACACCCAATTCACTCATGCAGATCCTTTTGTCCTCACTTTTAAATTTTTCGAACGACATTGGCCTTGTTATTGTCATTATTTACATAAATGTCATTGCACCCAGAACAAGCCACCATCGCCAGTCACCGTCGACAGCTGTCGGAGGCTGCCAAAAGTCGCTATAATGGCTTACAACCTACCGTGCGCTAGTGAGGCCTTTTCTGACCACAAAAATGGCCAAATCTGGTGGTGAAACGGCTGGCGTTTCAAGACCAAAGACCTGGCCATTTCACGGCCAAATCTGTGGTCGTTTTATAGCCACGTCTTTGGTAGTGAAACAGCTAGATCTATGGCACTATCGGCGTCACAGCCAGATCTGTGGGACTGTTGGCGGTCGCCGACGGTGGTGGCTGGTTGCTGGTAGTGGTTTGGGATGGGTAGGGGTGTTTTTGTTAAGTTTAAAACGTTTTTGGTTATTAGGGTGTTTTTGCTAAATTTGAAAAGTTGGGAGTTAAAAAAAAATATTCAAAAAATAATAATAGAAAAATACTATTATATTAATATTTAAAAAAAAGGCAATTTAGTAATTTATATAACATATCCACCCATTTATCCTCTCAACCAAACATATTATTCATCAATTCATTCAAACCAACTAAACACATTATCTAAACATTCCCAGTAATCTTCAATGTGATATTTTATTATGTTAATATAATATCTCCCTATAATAAAACATTATATGATCCAAACGCCCCTAGATGGTAATCTGATTACCTTAATTTTTTAAGCTATTATAAGATTATTTGGTTATCTTATTTTTGTTTCAATTTTATCCCTTATTAATAAAAATTTTGGACAATAATGCCCTTGTTTTAAAATCAATTTTCATTAATCCACCATTATAATTTTATCCTTGTTTAATTAAGTTTGTGGATAATAATGCCCTTATATTTAAAACAAATTGTAGACCACCACTACCACCCAGCCATCGCCGTGATAGTTGGCCAACCACTGTCGACCGTCGTTGGAAGTTGTTGAGAATTGCCGGGAGGCTCCGATATGGCCGTTTTTAGCACTATTGATGGCCAGAAATAGCCATATCGGAGTAGATCTTGTTGGAAATAGCTAAAATAGATCTGGCTATTTCCGGTAAGATTTACTCTGATATTGCCATCAATATGGCCGTAAACGGCCATATCGGCAACTTGTGGCGGCGGAAGGCAATGGCTGGCGACGAGCAGTGGCTTGGGGTGGGTGGAGGTGATTTTGTTATAAATTAAAATTTTATATAAGTTTGGGTGTTTTAGCTAAATCTGAAATGTTGACAGTTAAAAGAAATTATTCAAAAATTAATAATAAAAATAATATTATATTAATATTTAAAAAGATGACAATTTAATCATTTAAATAACATACACATCAATTTATTCCTCTCAACCAACAACCAAACATATTAATATAACATACCCACCAATTTATTTCAATTAACCAAACATATTTTCAAGATAATCTAACTTTTTATTAATATAATATTACTAATAATCTAAATATTCCTTAAATCAAATATACTCTAAAGGTGAAAATTTAAAATAAATACAATCAAGATATCAAGTTGAAATTTCACTAAACCTCGGATATGAATATGTCGTTTGCTCATTTTTAGATTCTTATTCTCTCAAATATTTTCTTCCGCATTAAAAAAAAAATTATGATGACGTTTCTATTTGACGTCCATCTTTTGGAAATTCTCACCCGGTTTTGCACAGTACACTCACAATCATAGGGCAGTTCCGCTTATTTTTAATTTGTTTGAACTTACTGAAAGAATGTGCGTTAAATTCATGTATTATTCTGTTTTCTTAAAAAAAAAAAAATTTATAATTAATCGATAGTCATAATGATATCACGTTATTTGGTGCATAAATTTGATGGCAACTGTATTTTTTTCCATTTGTATATATGAGGAGTGTTGGCATGCCCGAGTAGAGTTGAGCTTCTGCCAGAGAAAATTCTTCCCATCAATTGCAGAAATAGCTAGCTCTTGCTCACTTTCTCTCACACTCTTTGTTAGTTAACACTACTGCTGCTTCATTATTTTGTGCTGAATCAGAAATGGGTTCTCTTGTGGGATTGATGTACCACTTATTTCGTGTCAAAATCATCACTCTTCTCACAGAGAAGAGGGTTCACCCTGATCTCTTTGTTCCCGAGATTAACGAGGTTGATATCTACCAGTTTGATCCTTATGACTTGCCAGGTAAGTGAGTTTTATTCTTTCAACTTTTAACTTTAATTCTCTCTTTAATTTCTTCGATTCTGACTGGAATTGAATTGTCATGCAGCGCTTTCAGAAACCAAGTCCGATGACCAGGTGTGGTACTTTTTCTGTGAACCGCATTATAAGTATGCCAACAGTAAACGTGCCCACCGAGCAACCGGAGGAGGGAACTGGAAAATAACCGGTCGAGGCTGTGACGTGAAGGATAAAGGAAGGGTGATCGGTAAGAAAAGGACATTGGTTTTCTGCAGACGTGGTAGTACTTCTAAGGAGATCAAGACTGATTGGGTTATGCATGAGTTCTATATCGAGGACAGCCCTTATTATGAGGTGTATTACTTTGTTCGATTCTTATTGCTTGTTCCTTCTTCTTTGTGTTGAATTTGGAAACATTTGGCTTGATGGGTTGTCCTCTTTTCTGATTTGGTGTTGAATTTATCTATAGTAAATCTTCTGTTAACTTTTGTTTAAATATGCTCTGTGATATTAGTGACAAGCTGCATAAATTTAGCTTCTGGGTTGTGTTTGACTTACTGGTAGAAGATTGAAGTGATTGGTAAATATGCTAGAAGCTTGATTTCGTTTGATTAGGCACTTCAATTAGATTTAATTATAATCTACAAATTTAATTTTGTAATCTGTTTTATGAGATCGTATAGGAACTCGTATGTATCTCAGTTATGTACTTGAATTTTTATTATTAGTGATATCCATGGAAATTATGTAAGAAATTGAGACCTTTCTTCTAAGTTCAAAATCGCCTTGCAGAACCATTACTAATGTGACAAGGAGAATATATTTTCCTTATGAATTATTTTATGAAAGAGTCTGTTGTTTTTGTTTCTCTTTAAAGTCTGGTAGGTAGTATAGAGGCAGTTCTGATCAAAATTTGCTATGTCTGGGAAATAATTGGTACTACAGGATTCTAGGCAGCTACACATTACGTTTTATTTATTTTCATTTTACCTTTATTTAATTTTTTGTTTTTGTAGAAGAATTTTGTTGTCTGTTACATAGAAAAAACAAAAAAAAACAAGTCTAGTGTTTCAACACCCGATGATGGTCAACCGAGTCACAGTCTGTCTTCACATTATGAAAGTCGTGTTACAGAAAATTCTTCTTCGGAGGTGAGATAGAACATGTCTTGTGGTCATGTTTCAATATCAAGTCGGAAACATATCCAGAATTAATACTTCTTTATTTATGGTTATTGGTTCAGGTTGAATCTCAGCAAACAATGAGTCAGCATTTGATTTCTGATTCTAGAAAGCATATTACAGAAAATTCATTTTTAGACGTGAGAAAAAGCATGCCTTATGGGTAGTCTTCGGTATCAGCTGTAGTCTTTGAAAAACATATTCACACAACTAATACTTTGTTTGTCTATGATACTTTTCTTCAGGTAGAATCTCCACCACTATCAAGTAACAATTTGTCTTCTGATTCACTAAATTGTTTTCCAGAAATTTCTTCAGTGGTAAGGAAAACTACTCCAATCTCAACTTATACCTATGGGCATGAAAAACATGTTCAGACTACTAATTCTTGTTTATCTATGATCCTTACTTCAGGTAGGACCTCAACTAGAACCTCAACTACTATCAAGTGACGAATTGGATCATTTTCATTAGAGTATTTACTCAATGGTGAGGAAAAATATCTTACATAGTTTTCATATCAAGTTTTACATATGGACATGGTGCATGAAAACCATATTTAAATAACTATTATTGCTTTTTTGTCTATGATTCTTGCTTCAGATAAATCCTCAACCACCGGACAAATTTGATGCAGTCAGTGGCTATAATTGGCCGAATCACAGCTCGGTCTCCGCTCTGCAGTCGCCAATTAATCAGTACCAGGGATCCAATTCCTCATACTTAAATGGCATTAGTAATGACTGTAATCTGGGGAGCTATAAATTCACTGGTGGCCTTGAAGATGTCGTGAATTCGCAAAGGAATGTCCAGAATCAATATCCTTGCGAAGTAGATGTACTGACTCAGTCAGACATTGAAGCAATGGTTAAAGAGCTATCTTGAGGACTTTCCTCCAATAGCATTGGAAAATTAAAGAGCGAATGGGGATTATGCATTATGGTCATGAACAGTGTAGACTGCTTTGCTGTCTTGTAGTTATGATGAGCTTTGTAATTGTCGACAATAATGGTCACATACTTTTGGATCTTGTTTCAAACACTTTGAAAAAATTCAGCTTGTCAATTATATTTATATCTAAGTATGTCTTAGTTCTGGAAACTTCAAGTATTGTTTAATGGGAATGCTGTTCATATGTCCAGGTATTAAAATTCCATTGAGGAATTTGTTAAGAACAAAATCCTATTTCCTTCTCTCTCTCCTTCCTTGTTTTTAGTTAATGATTAATCACAAACTTGAATTTCTCCCTTGTAAATCTAAGATGAGGATCCAATGTCTGGAAATAATTTTGCAGTTCAAATATAACCATTAAGAAGGCAGTAACAGCAAGGGAAAAGGTTTGTTTGGTTTTCCTGGGGACTGGGGACACCCCATTAAAACATAAACAAAATCCACCATCACTGTAATTTGGCAATGTTTATTTCCAGTGTATTTTCTTCATATTCCTTAATTATTAGCAAAAGGTAGTGGTTCTTCATTGAATGATATTGCTCATATCAGGTATATGGCTGACATAAATTTAATTAGCTTTTGTCAAGAACAGGAAGTTATAGTTTTGAGTTTTAACTTTCTAGCCTTTGTTCCAAGAGCCCATCTATATACATAAATAAACCTCACTGCATGCAGCACGGTGGTTTGATTTGGAGTGGAAGAAGCTCATTATAATTTTCCATGATGGAGGTTTACTTCAGTCTTCCGATTGATTTAATAACAATAAGCAACTTCTTTTCATTTCTGTGTAGAAAATCAAAATCCCAATACTTGTAGTAGGCAACATGATAATCCCAAAGTTTGAGCTTTTAATCAAGATTTAAAATATGAAACTGTTAGGATCTCATATTGTAAAGGAAAATGGTAGGCATGTTGGTTATAAATGCTTGGACACTCTCCTTTAACAAAGTTGTTTTTCAAAAAGAGTTTTATTCAAGTCCATGAAAGACTCATTGCCACCCCAATTATTTGAGTTGTTGGATGCAACACCCAAGAGGTTGTGGAAGTGTGGTGAAATGTTTTGGAAGGGAAAAAAGGTTTAGACATCCTCCCTTGGCATGGTTTTTTTAAGTAGAGTTTTATCCATGTTGAAGATCAACCCCAACCCATTACAGAACCCAACCAATATTTTGATTTCAGCTCAAGGAAAATAAAGGCCCAAACCATTTTATCTTAGTCCAAAACAATAGAAGATTCTCAACAAATGTGGAAGAAATATATTTTTTTAGAAAATTATAGAAGGATAGAGAAGGGATTTTTTTTAGGAGAAGTGTGTAGAATGGGGTTATAATGTGTGGTTAGAATTATTTCTTAGTTTTATATTTATGTGGTGTAGATTGCATGGTGAGGACTATAAATATTCTCCCTTGCGTTTGGGTTAGGTATCCTCCCAAAAATCAAGTCTTTGTATTCTTAGTTTGAGTGTGGTGTCTTGAGTGTAAGTTGTGAGCTTTCTTTTTAGTGTTTGTATTTCTCTTCAAATTGTGAGTGGTTTTTGAAAAGTGTGGTAGTATCTTTTATTGTGGATATAATACAAGTAATTTGTTTACTTGTTTGGGTCCAACATTAGTAAGTTTACAGTTGTATACTCTAAATTTTACCCAACAATCCAAACCTATGATACATCCATTGCTCAGCCCAATTGTTTGAATTGTTGGAGTAGGTTTCTATCATAAACATATTAATTATTAAAAATAACCAGGATGTAGAAGACGTAAATGTTGAAAGTTTTAGTCCCCTTGCCAAGGAAGTAGACAGACGAAAGTGGATGGCCGATAGTGGGGCCGAAGACTTTTTGAGTAGAACCAAGTATTTAGTTGGCTGTTAACGCCTCACGAACAATTAAATCCAACCCAAGGGTTTATTCACATGGAATTACCTAACAATTATGCTCTGTAAAGCAGCCATTGGAAAAGCATCTAGTTGGGCTTCCACCAATAAAAAAAGGAGAGAGAACATCCAGTCAATCTTTTTTGCTAGATGCTTTGATGCTTTCCTATGTGTAATGTATATAAACAAGCCATCCCCCTCTCACTTTGGATACGAAATTCTTTCCATCAAACCCACAAACCTAATTCATACGCTGTTTCTACAGTGTTCTGTTCCTTTCTATTGAATCTCAGAAATGGAAATGGGTATATTGTTTATTGATCCAGAAATGAGCAATCTCGAGGGATTTTTATTCCCTCCTACTGATGATGAATTCATCATTTTTCTGGAGTAGAAGAGATTTGACCGTGATTTCTCTGTTCAATTCATATCCAATATTTATATTTAAGGGTGTGAAGCGCCAAATTTATCCGGTAAGTATAGTGTCAACCATTGAATTTCTTTTTAAATTCTTTATCTATTATGTCATTAGAAAGGCTGGTAATCTTTTGAAATAAAGAGTATTTTCTGTTATGATTTGATACAGGGCGTTTCGCAATTCACTCGTTTTACCTCGTTTGGTTCGAACCTTAGGTAGAACCTCAACTACTATAGGTAAAACCTCAACTACTACGAGGACTAGTATCGTATGAGTTGTTTTGGGACTAGTCTGAATTGTTTCTCAGAGGTGAGAAAGAGTGCGTAACTTTCAGTATAAGCCATGATGATGATGATGATAACAAATATGTCTAAAGGTTAATACTTTTTCATGATTCTTCAGGTTAAACGTTGGCAACTACCAGTCGTTATATGACTTCTAATGTCACAAATCATGTGCGGAAAATATATTTTCTGGGAGTGTGATAGAGGTAAGAATGAGCATACTCTATTGGATTCTTTATTGACAGTATTTCAATCTAAATTAATATTTGTGGTGTATGAGAAACTTTTTTGAATCTAATGTTATATCAACCTATGTATATTGTAAATGAGCAGCATACACTGTCAGAAAGATATGCCTTAAAAATAATTTTATGTATTAACAGATACAAGTTCTTCAATAGGCACATATTTTTGAACTAATGCTTGCTTGTTTATGATTCTTAATTTATTTTTAAACTAATGCTTGCTTGTTTATAATTCTTACTGTAGGTAGAACCTCAACTACTACCATGTAACTTTGGCTTTTGATTTAGGAAATCAAATTGCAAGAAATAACTTTTCTCAGGTGAGATAGAATGTCCTAGCTCTTATGGGTGGTATCTGCTTTCAACTTATACATAGTTTGCATTAAAACACATGGAATTCGTATATCAAGTAGAATTCCATTTACTACCATTCATCATTTAGCGTTTGATTATGGAATTGGTATTTTCGAAAAGTATGTTTTTAGAGGTGACTTGTACTTGCATAAGGACATATCTAAAAGAATTAAAGCTTCCTTTGTGGTTGTTAATACAGGTAGAACTGCAGTATCTACCTAATCACCATTTGGCTTTTGATTTTGTAAACCATTTTACATAGAATATTTTTTTTCAGAGATGAGAGAGGGCATTGCTTATGGATTATTATTTATGTGAACTCTGCCTGAGAAATATACCAAAAGTAATACTTGTTTGTCAGTGATTCTTACCTCTAAAACCTCATCTACTATCAAGCTACCTTATGCATTAGTATTCCGTGACTCGTGGAAAAATATTGCCTAAGAGATATAGGTGGTTTCCAAATATACACTTACTTTTGTAGTGCTCGATAAACATATCTAGAATTAATGCTTCTTCGTCTATGGTTCGTACCTCAGGTAGAAGCACTACTACTTGCAGAATTTGATGCACTCGATGGCTGTAAATGGCTAGACCACAATCCATCCTCTGCAATGCACTTGCCAGTGGATCTCGAACAGAGAGTTCTTTGTTCGCAACAGTTTGTCCAGGAGAATGCTTGTGTGAGGGAACTGAACACTGAAACCATCAAAGAATGGGTAAATGAATATCCTCCTTTACCTATTGGAGAACGTTACTTCAATAGAGAATTATCAAAATTAAGTTCTGTAGCTGAATATTATCGTTATTGACCATAATTGTAATATTGCTTATTTATGTTATAATGTATACTACAAGCGCTCTGATTTTTTACAGCAAAAGGTTACATTTTCTTGGACATGTGTGAAACTCTTGAAACTCAACTTGTTCTTCATATCTATGTCACAGTATAACCAAGTTCTGCGAAATTGGAGTTTGTTTGATGGGACTGCTTGCTCAAAAGAGTACCAGGGGATGCAAATGGTTCATAACCTTATAGAACTCTGTTGAAAAGTGTGCTGAGTTCATCATAAGATCTACCTTATGCAACTCCATCCGAGATCGGTGTGAGTTTATCATGAATCATGAGATCTTTGCATAAGAATTTCTGCCAGTCAACTTCTGAAAAAAAAAAAATTCCTATATAAGAACAGAAGAACCTGGAAACCTCAGAATAAACAAAAATCTCACAATTTAGTATCACAGGAATGTGCTCAAACACTCCATTTTTTTGGATAACTTCTGTAACTCCGAACCTGCAACCGCAAAAGTATCTTCTGTTTATGCGAAAGAGAAAGTTTTGGACACTATAATAAGGCCAGGGTAGAAACTTAAAAAATAAATGAACAAAGAACATTTTCCAACAATGTTTCTTTCAAATAGTGTCCAACAGAAATGAGTACTGGTGTTATGTAATCAACATTGCAAGTGACCAAATGGTTGCTAACCTTCATGCTAACTTGTTTGAGTGCTGTTCTTATTAGAGCTTAATTTGAACGGTTTGATCAGCTGAGATTTGTTAGCTTAATTTGTTAGTAAATCAAAGTATGACACGGAGAAGACACCCAGAAAAACTTGTGAGGGAGACACATCACCAACCACTGTTGTTAATGATGTAAGAAACTAAGTTATTCATTATTGTTGTAAAGCCAAGGATTGTTTTGAATAGTAGGATGACTCGTAGTAATCTTGAAATCATATAACAATAATAGAGCTATAAAAAGCAAATCACTCCTTGTTGATCACGAACCTACTAAGAAAGAGAAGAAACGGAGAAAGAAGATTCTAGTAAAGGGCCCGGATTTCTTTGAATTCCAACTTCTTGTGATGGAAGGAAATACCCTCCTGTGGAAAAACTAGAGTTAAAAGGTGGCAGTTACTTGATGAAAAGAACATCAGAATTAAACGTGGGGCCTTTTTTAAGACTTCTTGGGAGTCTTCGGACTGAAGATTACTACAGTATCATCATTCATCAGACGTCACTTAAACCGTGTTTGACATAAATAATTGATCACCCACTTTCCTCTTCTCTAAAAGAGTAAATTATTTCATCAAATTAAACCGGAGATATCGCGCTGTTCCTCTCGCTTATTAAATCTTACCCAATGTAATCCAATTTTATGTCCCATATTGCCTCTAAACAGTTGAGCATTTGGTCTAAATTAGTTTTACATTTGTTAAGATTTACAAAACACTCAATTCACTTATACAGATCCTTTTGTCCTCACTTTTTAAATTTTTCAAATGACATTGATTTTGTTATTGTCATTATTTACAGAAATGTCATTGTACCCAGAACAAACCACCATCACTAGTCACCGTCGAAAGTCGTCAAAGACTGTCAAAAGTCGCCATAATGGCTTACGACTGACCGTGTGCTAGTGAAGCCTTTTTTTATCACAGAAACGGCCGACATTTCACGACCAAAGACTTGGCCATTTCACGACCAAATCTGTGGTTGTTTTACAGCCACATCTTTGGTAGAGAAACGGCCAGATCTATGGCACTGTCGGAGTCACAACCAGATTTGTGGCACTGTTGGCGGTCGTCGACGATGGTGGTTGGCTGCCGGTAGTGGCTTGGGGTGGATAGGGGTGTTTTTGTTAAGTTTAAAACATTTTTGGTTGTTAGGATGTTTTTGCTAAATCTGAAAAGTAGAAAGTTAAAAGAAATTATTCAAAAAATAATAATAGAAAAATACTATTATATTAATATTAAAAAAAAAAGTCAATTTAGTAATCTATATAACATACCCACCAATTTATCCTCTCAAGTCTCAACCAAATATATTATTCATCAATTTATTCGAACCAACCAAACACTTTTTCTAAACATTCCCAGTAATCTTTAAGATGATCTTTTATTCTATTAATATAATATACCCCTATAATAAAACATTATATGATCTAAACGCCCATTGAAAATAATCTGATTACCTAAATTTTCTTAGGTATTATAAGATTATTTGGTCATCTTATTTTTGTTCCAATTTTATCCCTTATTAATAAAAATTTTGGATAATAATGCCCTTGTTTTAAAATCAATTTTCATTAATCCGCCATTATAATTTTATCCTTGTTTAAGTAAGTTTTTGGATAATAATGCCCTTATATTTAAAACAAATTGTAAACCACTACTGCCACCTAGCCACCGCTGTCGACAGCTGGCCAACCACTGTCGGCCGCCGTTGGAAGTTGTCAAGAATCGCCGGGAGGCTCTGATATGGCCGTTTTTAGCCATATTGATGGAAACGACCATATCGGAGTAGATCTGGTCGAAAATGGCTGAAATAGATCTGGCCATTTCCGGCAAAATCTACTTAGATATTGTCATCAATATGGTCATAAACGGCCATATCAGCAACTTACGGTGACTTCCGACAGCCAAAGGCGATGGCTGGCTGTGGTGGTTGGCGGCGGACAGTGGCTTGGGGTGGGTGGGAGTGATTTTGTTATAAATTAAAATTTTATATAAGTTGTGGTGTTTTAGCTAAATCTAAAATGTTGGCGGTTAAAAGAAATTATTCAAAAATTAATAATAAAAATAATATTATATTAATATTTAAAAAGCAATTGAGTAATTTAAATAATATACACATCAATTTATTCCTCTCAATCAAACATATTAATATAACATATCCATCAATTTATTCAAATTAAACAAACATATTTTCTTAAGGATTTTCAGTAATCTTCAAGGTAATTTAATTTTTTATTAATATAATATTACTAATAAGTTAACATTTCTTGAATTAAACATACCCTAAAAGTGAAAATCTAAAATAAATGCAAACAAGATATCAACTTGCGATTTCACTCAACCTCGGGTGGGAATATGTTGTTTGCTCATCTTTAAATTCTTATTCTCATTTAGTCCACTCATATTTTACATAAAGGACACCAGCATTTAATTTAATTAAAGGCGCGAAGATCTTTAGTCGTCTGACAAATTGGTAACGTGCCACGATTCTTCATCCTGGAAGTCGAGACAACTCATTGATTGAATCCAGTCAGTAGGGATTTGTCGGAGAGATTTGTCTGGATGAGTATCTGAAGAAATGTCTGAAATCTGAGATGTTGGCGCTGCACTAAAAAAAAAAAAAAAAAAAAATATGACGACGTTTCTATTTGACGTCCATCTTTTGGAAATTCTCACGCGGTTTTGCACAGTACACTCACAATCACTCAGCAGTTCCGCTTATTTGAATATATAAGGAGTGTTGGCATGCCCGAGTAGAGTTGAGCTTCTGCCAGAGAAAATTCTTCCCATCAATTGCAGAAATAGCTAGCTCTTGCTCACTTTCTCTCAAACTCTTTGTTAGTTAACACTACTGCTGCTTCATTATTTTGTGCTGAATCAGAAATGGGTTCTCTTGTGGGATTGATGTACCACTTATTTCGTGTCAAAATCATCACTCTTCTCACAGAGAAGAGGGTTCACCCTGATCTCTTTGTTCCCGAGATTAACGAGGTTGATATCTACCAGTTTGATCCTTATGACTTGCCAGGTAAGTGAGTTTTATTCTTTCAACTTTTAACTTTAATTCTCTCTTTAATTTCTTTGATTCTGACTGGAATTGAATTGTCATGCAGCGCTTTCAGAAACCAAGTCCGACGACCAGGTGTGGTACTTTTTCTGTGAACCTCATTATAAGTATGCCAACAGTAAACGTGCCCACCGAGCAACCGGAGGAGGGAACTGGAAAATAACCGGTCGAGGCTGTGACGTGAAGGATAAAGGAAGGGTGATCGGTAAGAAAAGGACATTGGTTTTCTGCAGACGTGGTAGTACTTCTAAGGAGATCAAGACTGATTGGGTTATGCATGAGTTCTATATCGAGGACAGCCCTTATTATGAGGTGTATTACTTCGTTCGATTCTTATTGCTCGTTCCTTCTTCTTTGTGTTGAATTTGGAAACATATGGCTTGATGGGTTGTCCTCTTTTCTGATTTGGTGTTGAATTTATCTATAGTAAATCTTCTGTTAACTTTTGTTTAAATATGCTTTGTGATATTAGTGACAAGCTGCATAAATTTAGCTTCTGGGTTGTGTTTGACTTACTTGTAGAAGATTGAAGTGATTGGTAAATATGCTAGAAGCTTGATTTCGTTTGATTAGGCACTTCAATTAGATTTAATTATAATCTAAAAATTTAATTTTGTAATCTGTTTTATGAGATCGTATAGGAACTCGTATGTATCTCAGTTATGTACTTGAATTTTTATTATTAGTGATATCCATGAAATTATGTAAGAAATTGAGACCTTTCTTCTAAGTTCAAAATCGCTGTGCAGAACCATTACTAATGTGACAAGGAGAATATATTTTCCTAATGAATTATTTTATGAAAGAGTCTGTTGTTTTTGTTTCTCTTTAAAGTCTGGTAGGTAGTATAGAGGCAGTTCTGATTGTCTGGGAAATAATTGGTACTACAGGATTCTAGGCAGCAACGCATTAAATTTATTTATTTTCATTTTACCTTTATTTTAATTTTTGTTTTTGTAGAAGAATTTTGTTGTCTGTTACATAGAAAAAACAAAAAAAAACAAGTCTAGTGTTTCAACACCCGATGATGGTCAACCGAGTCACAGTCTATCTTCACATTATGAAAGTCGTGTTACAGAAAATTCTTCTTCGGAGGTGAGATAGAACATGTCTTGTGGTCATGTTTCAATATCAAGTCGGAAACATATCCAGAATTAATACTTCTTAATTTATGGTTATTGGTTCAGGTTGAATCTCAGCAAACAATGAGTCAGCATTTGATTTCTGATTCTAGAAAGCATATTACAGAAAATTCATTTTTAGACGTGAGAAAAAGCATGCCTTATGGGTAGTCTTCGGTATCAGCTGTAGTCTTTGAAAAACATATTCACACAACTAATACTTTGTTTGTCTATGATACTTTTCTTCAGGTAGAATCTCCACCACTATCAAGTGACGAATTAGAGAGTGTTTACTCAATGGTGAGGAAAAATATCTTACATAGTTTTCATATCAATTTATACATGTAGACATGGTGCATGAAAACCATATTTAAATAACTATTATTGCTTTTTTGTCTATGATTCTTACTTCAGATAAATCCTCAACCACCAGACGAATTTGATGCAATCAGTGGCTATAATTGGCTGAATCACAGCTCGGTCTCTGCACTACAGTTGCCAATTAATCAGTACCACGGATCCAATTCCTCATACTCAAATGGCATTAGTAATGACTGTAATCTAGGGAGCTATGAATTCACTGGTGGGCTTGAAGATGTCGTGAATTCGCAAAGGAATGTCCAGAATCATTGTCCTTGCGTGTTAGAAGATTGAGGTTGTTTGTATCTCTTACTGTCTTTCAAGTCAGTAGAGTAGTTGTATTAGTTGAAGTTTTTTGGTTAAAATGTATATTGATCCTTATTTTAAGGAACTTTTGCTTCTTTATGTATGTTGTGCTTTAATTAAGGAATGGTCCGTAGTTTTTTATATATTTTGTTAGTCATGTACATTGTATGAACATTAAGTGAATGAAAATCATCTTCATCTGTAGCTCTCATTTGTTTTTCTCTCTGTTTTTTTTTTTTCTTTCCTCTGTTTCGCTTGATTTGCTTCCTTATTGCATAATTTTGTCTTGCTTCATCAATCTAACTCATTCTCAGCCTTGACAACATGGTATCAGAGCTTTTATGATCTTAAGGGGTGTGTTCATTCTAAAGTTATCAGAGTTTTAACATTCTGTTTTGATCACTAGTTCACCATAGCTTCTTCATCTTCGTCTTCATCTTCATCCATGTTACCACCAGTTTATAACGGTGAACTTCATCATTTATGGGCTATCAAAATGAAAGCCTACATGAGAGGATTAGGCCTATGGCAATATGTGGAGGAGGAGAAACAATCTCCTCCTTTGGGGCCAAATCCAACATTAAATCAGTTACGATTGCATGAAGAAGAAGTTGTTAAAGCACCTAGAGCTTTATCAATCATTCATCAAGATGTAACTGATGCAGTATTTACTAAGATTGTTGCATGTGAGACTGCTAAGGAAGCATGGGAAAGATTGAAAGAAGACTCCTTAGGGAATGAAAGATCAAGGCAGATGAATGTCCTTAATCTAAGGAGAGAGTTTGAAGTTCTTAAAATGAAGGAGGCTGAAACTATTAAGGAATATGCTGATAGAATTATGAAAGTTGTAAATCAGATAAGGTTAATGGGTGAAACTCTTTCTGATCAGAAGATTGTGGAGAAAATTCTGGTGAGCATTCCCGAGAGTTATGAGGCTAAAATCTCCTCTCTTGAAGACTCTAAAAATTTCTCTGATCTTATCTTGTCTGAAGTGATAAATGCTCTGAAAGCTCAAGACCAAAGGAGAGCTCTAAGGCATGAAGAATTTGCAGAAAGTGCTCTTAATGCTAAGCTGCAGGAGAAAAATTCTATCAAAAACTCAATGAAGAAGCAGACTGTTGACATAAAGGAGGAGAGAAAAGTAAAGGGCAAGTTGCAAGGTGAAAAGAAAGGCAAGTATGCTCCTTGTCCTCATTGTAAAAAGAAGGGGCATTCTCCAAATTATTGTTGGTACAGACCTAACGTCAGATGCAGGTCATGTAACCAGCTTGGACACATTGATAAAGTGTGCAACAATGTAAGTGGAATCCAAGCTCAACAAACTCAGCAAATTCATTTAATTGAGAAACAAGAAGATGTTGGAGAAAATCTTTTTGTTGCAACTTGTTATGCAACTCAGAATAATCAAACCTCCTGGTTAATAGATAGTGGCTGTTCAAACCATATAACCTTTGATGCTAACATTCTCAAAGACTTGGATGAATCTTATTTGTCCAAAGTGAAAATTGGAAATGGTGAAATGCTAGATGTCAAGGGAAGAGGAACGGCTGTAATTGATACTCCAGCAGGTACCAAATACATTCAAGATGTTCTCTATGTACCTAAAATTAATCATAACTTGCTAAGTGTGGGATAGATGCTAGAAAAAGGGTATTCTCTGCATTTTCAAAACAAATCATGCACCATTGTTGATACTTGTGGTAGCGAACTTATGACTGTCAATATGATAGCCAAGAATTTTGCTATAGACTGGAATGTAGCTAGCACTAAGGCTTATCAGCATAATGAAATTGATTCAAATTTATGGCATAGAAGGCTTAGACACTTCAACTATGCAACTTTAAAAAATATGCATGAAAAGGAGCTAGTGCTAAATTTACCAACTGTTGATGATCATCATGGTGTCTGTGAAGTATGTCAGTTCGGCAAAGAATCCAAGTTACATTTTTCAAGCAGCAAATGGAAAGCCACTAAGAAACTGCAGCTTGTTCACTAAGATTTATGTGGACCAATGAGTGTTGCTTCTCTAAATGGGAGCAAATACTTTTTAATCTTTATTGATGGCTTCTCAAGACATTGCTGGATTTACTTCTTGAAGCAAAAGTTAGAAGTTTTTGATGTGTTCAAGAGATTCAAGGCAGAAGTGGAGAAGCAGTTAGGGTGCAAACTAAAGTTGTTCAGATCAGATAACGGCTCAGAATATACTTCAAAAGAATTCTCCTCTTTCTGCAAAATAGAAGGTATAATACATCAACTGACCACTTCTTACACTCCACAGCAAAATGGAGTGAGTGAAAAGGAAAATAGGTCAGTGATGGAAATGTCTAGGTGTTTGATGTTTGAAAAAAAAAAAAAACTACCTAAACATTTTTGGGCTGAGGCAGCAAATACTTCAGTGTTTTTATTAAATTTTCTGCCCACTAAAGCCTTGAATAATGCCACTCCTTATGAAATCTGGCATGGTTGTAAACCTTCTGTTGATCATCTAAGAATATTTGGATGTGTTTGTTATGCTCTTGTTCCAAGTGAAAGAAGAAGAGAGTTAGAAGCAAAATCAGAGAAAGGGGTGTTTGTTGGTCACAGCCAAGTATATAAGGGCTATAGAGTGTACAATCCCTAAACCAATAAATTTATGGTTAGTAGGAATGTCATATTTGATGAACAAGCAACTTAGAGTTGGGCAGATGATAATGAAGTGAGAGCAGGTTCAAGTTCAAATCCTGGAACCAATATCTTGTCAGAAAATTATTCATATTCCGGTACAAAATTAAACCTAAATACCGTAGTTAGCAATAAGCAGGGTCGAATCCACTGAGAGCAAGACTAATGACCTAATGTATATTTGAGTTAACAAAAGAGAAATTGGCAAAATGATTGATTAAAACTAAGGAAACTAATTAATTGCAGGAAATTAAAAGCATCAAATAAATTGCTGACTAAAACACAATATTAAAAGCATTTCGTTACGGGTTCGGTTTGACTCAAGACCAACTCTCACAATTCCTCTCCTCGCTCTTCAATTTCCCAAACCTACAAGGCTATGCAAATCAATAAAAATATCTCCCGACAATCTAGGTATAATCTATCATGTCTCCCCGTCGTCTTAGTTACAGATCGATTGGTTAAAGATTATCATTGACTAACCAAAAAATGCTAAACCCTTAAACACCACTAGTCGGTACAACGTTAACAAGTACAACCTATCAACTTGTATCACCCAATCAACTAATTACATAACAAATGCATTTCTAGTAGAAATGATATTAAACGCTAATACAACTTGATTGCAATTAGTACCAAAGTAGTTTAAAGTCATAATCAACATTCAATAATCTCAAACCGACATTCAATTATTCGAAAAGCTATATATCAATAAACGTTCTCAATGAACATTATCAATTCGGCACATCGAGCATTAGAATAATATTAAAGTATCGCAAACAAACTGAAATGAAAACAAATATAATCTGAATACAAGAAACTTAACCAAATGTCCAACATTCGGGCTCATCCAACTAGTCGAGAGCTGATGAGGAAAGCAATGGAGTCTATCTCGATCTTGCCTACACCGTAATAGACAATCGGGAACTCAGCCGCTCATTGTGGTGTCGATGGAGGCTGAAACAGTAGAAACGAAGCTGATCATGGCGAAGAGGAAGTAACCAATAGTGATATGATGTGAAGAAGGGGCCAAAATGACCAACGGACAGCTCGAAATACGAACAATCGCATTGGTCAGAAAACGTTAATTTTTCGGCGAGTCTCCCAAAAAATGGTGGCGGAAATGGGATCCGAAGGTACCGATGGAAAGCTCTAGTGATAGGGAGTTCAGATCAGGTCCTCGGGAGGTGAAAGGTCACCGGAGATGAGCGAGATCGCGGCTGGAAGATGAAGAGGTGCGACGGTGATTTGGCAGATTCTGGCAGTTTTTACGGCGGCTGAAGCTTACAAAGGATAGATCCGGCCATGGGGAAGATAGATCGACCACCAGGGAGCCCAAACGTCACTCAAAAATGCCAAAATCACTACTGGAATGCGAAGAGTTGAGGCGGCGGTGATCCGGGACGATGGAGATGATAGGTGCAAGTGGAATACGAAAAGTCGTTGGAGCTTGCCGAAATCTGATTGGAGAAGGTGAAGGGTTTTGGTAGGCGGCAGCCACCAAATCTGCTACCATGCGCTGCATTTTTATACAAAATGTGGCAAATTTTCATTTGGTCCCTATGTGATTGAAAAGCGACAAAATTAAGCTCTTGAAACATGACATTTTACCCCCTGAACAGTATAAATGAGAGAAAATTACCCCTAATCCATAAACCACAACCTAATATCAACTCACACCATTTCCAAATTCATCCCAAATATGCTAAATTAGCAAGAAAAACTCAAAATATGATTTTTATCCATAAATTCATAATTTCTCTTAATTGTCTCAATATAACTTCAATTCAATTACATATGGGATCTTTTTATCAACAAAATAGAGTCACTTTCATGACTTTAACAGTGATGAAGAAAGTACTCTTGCAACAAAAATGAGATCTCTTGAAGATATTTATGGCAGGTCTAATGTGGTCTCTTTAGAGCCAACTTCATTCGATGAAGCTGTCTGCAATGAAGGGTGGAAAACAGCAATGAAGAATGAAATGGAATTGATTAATAAGAACTCTATGTGGAGCCAAGTTAAAAAAACCTGAAAATCACAAGGTGATTGGTGTCAAGTGGATCTATAGAACAAAATTCAATCCGGATGGCACTATAAACAAGCTCAAAGCTAGATTAGTTGCCAAAGGATATCTACAACAATATGGGATTGATTTCACTGACACTTTTGCTCCAGTAGCCAGGTATGATACTATCAGATTGCTTGTGGCTCTATATGCTAAACTTAGCTGGAAAATATACCATCTTGATGTTAAATCTGCTTTTTTGAATGGTATACTTGATGAAGATATATATGTAGAGAAACTTGAAGGTTTCAAAGTGCCTGGGAAAGAAGAGCAAGTTTACAAGTTGCATAAGGCTCTTTATGGCCTGAAACAGGCACCAAAAACCTGGTATAACAGGATACATACTTACTTGCTAAACCAAGATTTCTGCTGCAGTCCAAATGAATCCACTCTTTATGTTAAAAAGGTAAATGGTGATCCATC